ACACTGCTTATGGTTCAGTGAAACCAAAAAAAGTAAGTACCCTTCCCTCCATGTTGAAAATGTTACCACTTAGGGAGTTATCTGGATGGTCTTGTGCTAGATTTATAATCCTATCCCCTCAAATGTCCAAGAGGTTAGATTAGATGGGATTAAACTCAGAAGGATGCTGGAAGCACACCAAAATGTCTGCTCTCCTTCCTGCCCAATTCGGTCCACTATAAATAAAACTTGACAGGCTTTCTTAAATCAACTTAATAATGTGTAGCACGAGTGCTTTCAAATGCCTGGTAGCTAAACCACACATCAGCTTTCTTAGGAAGCCTTCTAGCAACAGGCGGAAAAAAGAACAGCTACTGCCAAGAGTACTGTGTATACAAGAGCTGGTGGCCTTGGGTGACTCACTGCATGGGTTCCATCTATCTACTGGAAGGTCAACAGTGGGAGGGAGGTGGGCCTTTAATAACCAAGTCAGGCTTTTTTGCTAAAGCCAGATGCTGTCATTATGGAAGTAGATGAGAACACAGTTCTAATCGATCTGAAATTCTGATGAATTCCAGGTGCAACTCCCAGCAGCCTGGGAGAGCTGGTGGCTCAAAGCCCTCTGAGAGTTTTATTACTTGTGTCATAGTAGGCTGCTCCATCATAGAGTCTATGGAGTGTCTCAATACTTTCCTTCTCTGATTTCAAAAGGAAGCATGTTTTGCCAAACTTTCAGAGACAGTTTTTAAAAGTAAGCCAATTCCTCAAATATATCAAAGACTATAATGGAAAAAGTAGGAAGACTAAGAAAAAGTTGAGAAGAGCAAAGTCTAGGTTGCAGACCTCAAGGTTCCTATGAGAAATCAGATTCAATACAGAGTTTATAAATCTGAAGAGAGGGCTGGTCGAGGTCTTTAACCAGTAGGTGTAGTTTTATGAGCCGGCAGATTGCTAGCAACGGTCCATGTCATTTTGGAGAGAAGAAAAAGCAAGAGCAGAACCCCAAATAGTGTTTATGGTCGCTCAGCTTCAAGGGCACAGCCAGGGTGTAGCCACATTCTAGAAATGGCTGTCCATTTTCCAAGCCTGTTCTCCAGGCTCCTTGTCAAATCAAGCGTGTTTGGTTCTCAACATCCTTTCAATCAACCCTTTCCTCCTCTGTGTGTTAGGGTCAGTTACTGCCTCTTGCAAACAAGATCCTGAACTGATACACATACTAAAAAGGTGATTGCCTTTATTATCAAATGTTATTTTTTTTCCTGCCTGCTAGACCCAGTGCTCAAAAACATATATTGTAATGCAACTAAGAAAGAATCAATTTAGGGAAGATGGTCATATGTCCTTACACGTGGCTAAATTAGCCAATAAAGAAAAACAGATGACTCCTTGTTCTCACCATGGTCCTCATTTCAGGACCATATGTATTCATAAAGAGATGTTTCAACACCAAAACAAGATGTGTTAAATTCCTTTCATTTTTAAAAGAAATATTCTTTTAAGAGAAAAATAATCACGCACAATAGTTGACTGTTAATGATGTAGTCTTCATGTACTCAATTGCACTTATGTTTTTAGGCATGTCACAAACCAACATGGTATAAGCTTACCATCTCAAATTTATGTAATTAAAATTCACTTATCATCATATACACTGAGATGATATATGTGCTCACTCAGTGACATCAGGCCTAGGCCCCATCTCCAACCTGGCCATGAGCAAGGCCTTGGGACGACACTCTTCCCACCAACAGATAACATTAAATTTGGAGGTACTCCCTCTTTTCCTAAAACATGTACTTCAAGAAATTATAAGACTCACAGAAAACTGAACATGTTGGGATTCTAAATATTACTTGAAACATGAAAATGATGTAATCATACCAAAAAAAAAAAAAAATCTATCAACAGCCAAAAGATACCTTCCTTTAATTTACATTCGAATTAATTAATTAGTGGCAGTCAAATTAGAATGGATTGGTTGGCTCAAGAGGCAGAGGGGCAAACAGTCCTGCCACATACGCTAAGTAAGATATGGGGTCTTTAAGTTTCCTTTCAGCAGCTGGTGCTACATTGCAGCAGTATGCTCAACTGTTCTCTAACAACGATCAAAGCCCAAAGTCTGGCTACTCTAAGGCATACGACTTTATTTGCAAAAAAAATAGACGCTGAATTCTCACACACCATCCCCTCATCCCCCGCCAATAAAAACAGGGCTAATCCCTTCATCCTTCTTAGGAAGATGAATAGAATCTCAATTTACTAACAAGGATAAAAGGCTTTAAAAACAATCTTCTTGAAGGCACAAACTCTTCTCTGGTCCTGCTCCCTGGCTTCCTGGTACCCAGTGTGGCACTCTCCTGCCACAGGTGGCTCCACCGGTATCATTCACTGACCAAAGCCCTATCTTGCACAGGCATACCAGGATACATGGACATCTGAAACCTGGCTCCAGACCTCCCTAAAACCAGAAGATTCCAATGACATTCTGGCTAAAAAGATTAAAGAATACATCTTTTACTATGATGTTTAAGGAGGAAAAACACCCACTCACATGAAGATGAGAGAAAAAGCAAAGAGAAAGGGATTTAAAAGACTTTGAGTTGTGAGTGGCATTCTGTTTTTTTAAAAACAAGATCAACACAGAGTAACACTTTTTCCATCCCAAGACTGGATAGAGAGAGGTTGAGCTTTTTGACTCATCCGGAAAAACAAAGCCTCTTAGGGGCACGTTCCTGCCCTACCCTCACGCACATGGCTGTTAGGATAATCCCTCTGCTTGATCTGTCTACACTGCTTCCCTCACACAAATGCCTGTGCCCGGGAGAAACCGAACCCAAACACCCACCATCTCTCATAAGTAATTACAGAAACGAGGCAGTTTGGATTAAAGCTCTAAAAATTCAAACTCAAAAGTAATTTGGTTCTCATTACTACTGGCCAGCTTTTAGATCTGGTAGGATTACTTTTTTCTTCCACTAAGCACATATTATGCCCTAAATGGCCAAACCATATACAATTCTGACGCCAGAGAGCTAAAATTCAATACTGCAAGTATTTGTGTGTCTATCATACACGAGAAGGGCACTCTATCTCACCTAAGAAAAAACAAAATTAGTATTCATCTCATGAATTCCCGGCTTTAATTCTGATTCTACACAATTACATCTCTGGGACATAATTTGACCTGCAGCATAGTCAAACGCTTGTTATATAAACCATATTATAACAAGGGTCACTAAAAACTGTATAGCAAACGCTTCCAGGGAAAAAGACTTGGCACACAATATTTTCAAATATGATTCAATGACAAAGATTTGGGAGTTATATTAGCAACACATGCTGTTTCTCTTTCATATTAAATCCATCCACTCAAACATACCTCCTTATTTATAAATGTAAAATTTATATATTTACACATGACATATAAAAACATTCACAGACAAGCATTCATACATTCTTGTCTCTAATGTCTATTTGTTTTGGAAGCTAGGACATGAATCTAAAGGTTATTATTCTTCATTCTCTTAGAATCTAGATATTTTTTTCACTATCTCTGGGGCTGAATAGGAAAGAGATAATATTTGGTTCTCTCCACAGCTGGCAGGAACAAAATGGACACTAGCAACAATCTGAAAGCCCCGACTGATGGGAGGGAGGTAAGGCAGATGAAGGAGCAAGGGGAGCATCTGTCCTGGTCACACCCTGAAGCTTCCCTGTCTGTGCACAGCTCCTTAGAGCCCTTGGCAGCGGGGGGTCGTGAGTCCACCTGAGCGGGCATCGGGCAGGGGAAAGGGCTCTGGAGTCCTGTCAAATTCAGTATTTCCCTTATTTCCCCATGGAGATTCACACACAGCCGGGCCTAAACTGCATCGCGGTTTCACGGAAGTTCAGGATCAAGAACACCAAATCCCGACCCTGGCCCTGCCACGTATCTAGCTACATGACCGTGGGTGACCCGTGTATTTGAATTTTAGTTTAGTCTTCTTTAAAATGGAGATATTAATATTAATACTTGTCTTGAAGATGTTATTATAGAACCAAAGGATTCCACGTGTGTAGCAAGGACAACCCTGCCAAACAGCAAGATGCTCAGCAAATTCCAACTGTGATCTACCCCAGAGGCTTTCGGGAAAGATGAGAGCGAGCTTGGAAGCCCCTCTGAGATCTGCATTTTAATCCAGTTTGGGTCTTCATCCAGGAGCATCTGAAATTCAACGGGACTGCTGGGATAACACACAGCTTGACTGAGGGGCCAACTGTGACATGGGGCTCCAAGTGCCTTTAATGTTCTCTAAGGTCTACTTTTGTGATTTCCGACCTGTAAGTAGCCTCAGACGTCAGGCATATACAAGGGAACCAACAGACACTCTTCTTGGCCACACAACACTGTTCACTACCCTTAAAGGAAACCAGCTACTACCTTGGTCGTGATGTTTCCATACTTTGGGCAGAATCCCTGGTGCCACATTACCTATGTGTCATTGTTCCTGTTTTTGTAGTCAGTCAGTCTCCATTTCAACCACGCATGTCCACTGTTTTATGGTTTGACAGCACCACTTAGCTAAGATTACAAACTCCTAAAATCAGTGTCTGTATTTGTCTAACAGGCTTGTCATCACATCTAGCAAAGCAATGATAATAAATATGATTTGAGGAAAATATATCTATGATGAAAGAGTTCATACAATTTACATGGTGGGTGATCAAGTATCAATGCTAATAAAAGCCACATTCGTAACAAAACTTGTTTTTCAAATTGGCTATTCCATGTTCTCCAAAACAAAATGAGTACTGCAAATATTTTTAACTTATCCTGGAAATGACATACCAAAAGAAAGCTTAAGCCATGCATTTAAGATATTTAGACAAAGTTTATTACTTTCCTCTCAATAATATCTTAGAAAATTAACTATTATACTCCTTATACCACAGAATAAATGAAAAGGTAAATCATTCTATTCACGGATGTACAAATAAGATGTTTGTGTGAGCAGTCTTATTAAAACTATAGCATATCCTACCTCCTTAAAGTTATCAAATGCTGATAAAATGATTTCATGCCCGCCTCTGACAAGACAAACTGCTGCCAACAGTTCTAAAACAAGGGCTTTTGTTCTGTCAAAACAAGAAAAAAGAAAAACACAAATCAGTGAAAATGGCATGATGACTCAGCTATTCCTTCTAAGATAGATATAAGAATATAATATTTGCCCTTGTATTTTTTTAAAACTTTACTAAGGTACAGTTATGTCAAAGTACATTTTTAAACCTTTAATGGCTTCCAAATATGTGATTTGTCTAACACAGAAAATTTGGAAGGCATGTTTCCCACTTCCCAAACTACTAATTACTCACTAATGAGAACTAGCTCTGGGAAGAACAGTCTCTCAGCCCCATCCTCAGGTTACTCAGTACGATGTCACTGAAGAGGGTTTAATGGGGAGCTAGCTGAGAACAACAGGAAACTTGGGAATATGCTGAAAACCAAACCACTGGTTAAACATTTTCTCTGATTTTAGAGACATATAACACTTACAGAAACACTTACAGAAACATTAAAAATCAACTGAAGTTAATGTTCTATATTTCAAATCTGCTCATTTGGGGAAGGAGCCATAGAAATTTCCCATGACAAAGCAAGTTTCTGTCATTTCTTCTACCTATGCGGGTAGAAGATCTGGAAGGAGCTGAATTACAGCTTCACTAATATAAGAATATTTTCTCTGACTCAAGAAAATAGAACTCCATCTGAAATATTTTTGGTGGGAGAACCTAGAGATACACTCTAAGTTTTCAAATGCAATGTTAAGAAAGAAACAGCATTGTTTCTTCATCATAAGATCACTTGAGTATTCCATCTTTATTCTGGAATAAAACTACTGCCAACCTCTAAACAAAGACTGTTCTGATATTCCACCATGTCAATTGTCTTAAGAAAAATGAATAATGACTCCCCAGTGGTGGAAGGCAGGGACACAGAAGCATGACTATTTAGGGCTATAGTAAACTAAGGAAGCAATCGCAAAGTCACAAAAGGCTTCAGTTTGAAAGAATAATATTTAATGTTTAAATAGAACTTTACAGTTTGCACTGCATTTTGAATCATAAAGTTCTAATTTATAATCAGGGTTTTTAGTTGAATTAACAGTTTTCAGATATTCAGTCTATAGAGAGGTATCTGATGAAAAGGAATTACACATTTGAACTGCAGAATAGGCCGGGCACAGTGGCTCATGCCTATAATCCCAGCACTTTGGGAGGCCGAGACAGGAGGAGCACTTAAGGCCAGGAGTTTGAGACCAGCCTGGGCAGCACAGTGAGACTGTCTCCACAAAAAATAAGAAAATTAGCCAGGTGTAGTAGCATGCATGTATAGTCCTGGCTGCGGCAGGAGGATCACTTGAGTCTGGGAGTTTGAAGCTGCAGTGAGCTATGATCACATCACTGTGCTCTAGCTGGGGCAAAAGCGTGAGACCCGTCTCCCTGTTTCAAAAAAAAAAAAAAAGAGAGAGAGAGAAATGCAGAATACCAAAGAAGACAGGTTTCTAGAGCTAATTTGTGGTATGAATAATATATAGTGCTGGCCTTTATAGAAAGTGAATATAAAAGGAAATCGGTATACATAATTCTTTTCCTTGTTTGGTAATTAAAGCGACATAAGTAAAGGTGGCAAGTGAAGTATGGCCAAGGGATGGTGGTTTTAGTTAACTTTTAGCAATAACTGATATAGGTAAATCATTACCATGACTCTCCTGGCAAGCTGGGCGTGGTGGCTCACACCTGTAATCCTAGTACTGCGGGAGGCCTAGGCAGAAGGATTGCCTGAAGTCAGGAGTTCCTGACCAGCATGAGCAAGAGCGAGACTCCCCATCCCTACAAAAAACTAGAAAAATTAGCCGGGCATAGTGACACATGCCTATAGTCCCAGCTATTCAGGAGGCTGAGGCAGAAGGATTTCTTGAGCCCAGGAGTTGGAGGTTGCAGTGAGCCATGATGACACCATTGCACTCTAGCCAGGGTAACAGAGTGAGACTCTGTCTCAAAAAAAAAAAAAAAAAACCACCTCACCTGGCCCCTGAGTCCTGACAAACTGATCCTCTCCCCCAAATTTAGCACTAAGGATGCTGAGAACCAGGCCTCAACAGAATGAAAACTTGAGGAGAACAGTGAGGGGGAGAACTGTCACCAGCCGCCCAACTCTGCCCCATGTCAGAACATAACTTGGCTCAAAGGGAATATTCTCCACAGCCGATCTTATTTCAAACAGTCACATTTCAAAGTTTCCAAAGTCAAACTTGGCTAAGTGTAGACTAGCTCTCTGCTTTCCCTAGATTTAGACCCGTACGTAACAAAGAAAGCTTACCTGGGATTCTTATTGTTCAAGCTTAGAGCAATCTCATTGACAGCATGCGGATGGGACATGACCATGTTGAAACCATACTGAAATTAATATGGGGGAAAAAAAAACCCAAGCATTAGAAGACAAGTTAGGAGACCATCAATGTTGATTAAAAAACAAAACCCTGAAATTTCCACCTAATGTAACTTATACCATCATAAATGCATTTGTGTTTATAGTATATCAGTGTCAGAACATATTTATCATAAATTTCAGGAATGCCAGGCATGGTGAGGTGTGCCTGTAGTCCCAGCTACTGGGGAGGCCAAGGCAGGAGGATCACCTGAGCTCAGGAGTTTGAGCCCAGCCTGGGCATCACAACAAGACACCCACCTCTTAAAAAGAAAAATTCAGTAATGATACTATTACGAAAGGATCGTCTTCCCATTCTTTATGAATGAATGTTTCTCTTTATTAAACATTCTACATGTTTCTCTTTATTAAAATGGTAAAAAAGGCTAGAGCTCTAGCCCAGTGATTCTCAATCTTGACTGCTCATTAAAATCACCTGGAAGACTGCGTCAAACAAAGCACCAGCTCTCCAAGACTCAACCCATATTTATTCTGAATCTCAGGCATGAGACATTGGCATCTGAATATTTTTTCAGCTTCCAGGTGACTCCACTGTGCAGCCAGGACTGAAGCCAGTGCATCTAATCCCTTATTTGGGCAATGGCTATCAGGACCAAGAGCCTAGGAAAACCTGCCTTGTTGTAAGGCATGCTACCCCCACCCCACTTCCGCACAATGAAGTAAGTACAACAACAGGCTCAAGAATCATTCTTAATTCTGCTGAGTTGAGGAAGTCTAGTGGACCCTTGAACAACACTGGTTTGAGCTCCCCTTATGTGTGGATTTTATTCCACCCCTGAGACAGAAAGACCAACCCCCTCCTCTTCCTCTTCAGCCTACTAACCATGAAGGTGATGAGAATGAAGACTTTTATGACAAGCCGCTTCCACTTAATGATAGTAAATACATTTTCTCTTCCTTATGGTTTTCTTAAGAACTTTTTTTCTCTAGCTTACTTTTATTATAAGAATACAGTATACAATACACATATGTACAAAATGTGTGTTAATTGATTTTTATGCTATTGGTAAGGCTTTGCATCTATAGTAGGCTATTAGTAGTCAAGTTTCTGAGGAGTCAAAGGGTACACACAAATTTTTGACTGCACCAGGGTTGGTGTCACTAACCCCTGTGTCGCTGTATACCGTCTACTGTATTCTTTCTCCTCCAAACTTACTCTCAGCCCATAACCACATTTCCTCTTATACTGAGAAAATATAAGCAATCAGAAAAAATTTTCACAAACTCCCTCTACCATATCAATCCACACCCACAGACCTGTGGCTTCCTTACCTCTTCCTAAAAAACAACCCTTTCATGCCCTAGTCTAAGGCCAATGATGCCACTTAAGTCCTTGATCCCATTCCCTTTCCCCTCAAGTGCATCATATATGTTCCAGAAATTTCTTCATCCATCCCTCATCATTTTTCTCTGTCTACTGATTCACTACCATTAGCATACAAATATGATAAAAATTCTCTTATCTTAAATAACAACAGTAAAAACCTCTCTCCATACCACAACCTGTGTCCAGCTACTGCCTCTCATTTCTCTGCTATCCTTTACAGCAAAACTCCTCCAAACACTCCCAGTCTGATTCCTCTCCTGTGTGCTCCTGAATCTACTCCATCAGACACCTCATCCCCACCACTCCAATGAAACTGTTCTTCCCAAGATCACCCGTGGCCTGCACTTTGCTAAAGCCAATGGCCAGTTCTCACTCCTCATCTTACATGATTTAGCGGCAGCATTTGACAGAATTGAACACTCCCTTCTTCTGGAAACAGTTCCTTCTCTTGGCTCCTACCTTCCTGGCTACCTCTCATACACGCAAGCTGGCTTTTCCTCATCTCTCTGACATTTACACACAGTGCCCCAGGGCTCATATTCTGGACCCCTTTACTATCCCTCCGTCTATCCCTGTTGATCTCATTCACTCTCCTGGCTTTCTATACCATCCACCTGCTAATTACTCCCAAATTTGTATCTCCAGTCCATTCCTCTTCTTGAAATCCACACTGGCACATCCAACCACCCGCTTAAGATCACTATTTGGAAGTCTCATCGACATCTTGAAGTTAAAATCTGCAAAAAGAAAATCCTAATCATCTCCTTCAAATCTGCACATCCCATAGCCTTCCCCATCTCAGTAGATGGCAACTGCATCTTATGGGTGGCCCAGGACAAAAACCTTGGTACCACCTTCCACTCCTGTCTTCCTCATCTCCAATGCTGTTGCCTTTACCATCAAAATAAAACCAGCATCTGACCACCTCTCATCATCTCTACTCCTATAAATCCTAGTCCATACTACCATGAACACTCAGTCACCTAAATTACTACCAACAGCCTCCTGGATGGTCTACCTCCTCTTGCCTTTGCCCCTCCCAAGGTCAATCCTACATATAGAATCAAGGGATCATGTTAAATGCAAGACTGTCAGATCATTGCCCTCAGAACCATTCAACAGCTTCCCATTCATAGTAAATCAATGTCCTTTCACTCGCCTACAAAGACCTACATAATCAGGACTTTGTGTTACTGCTGACTTCACCTTCCACGCTTCTCCCTCTTACTCATTCTCATTCTGATCCGGCCTCCTTTCTGTGCTTTGTACAAATCAGACTTACTCCTGCCTCAGGGCCTTTGCTCTTGCCCCTCTATCTACCTAGAATCTTCTTTCCCTGATATTCCTTCCTTTGTTCCCTCATTCAAGTTGTTGTTAAACATTATCTTCTCAGTGACACTTTCCTTGCTAGACTATTTAAAACTGCATATACATTTTTAGCCCTTCCTTATTCATCTCCTGATTATTTTTTTGTATAGGACCTTAGTAATGGTTTCCTGGGTTCAACTCTCTACTCCACCACTTAATAGCTATGTGACTTTAGGCAAATTACTGAACTTCTCTGTGTCTCAGTTTCCTCATCAGTAAAATGCAGGGAGTGCTATTACTGACCTCACAGGGCTGTCATGAGGTTTACATGACTTAAGAGCTTTAAAAGCACTGGACCTGTAAAATGTGCCCTGTGTCTGCTTTTTTCATATCACTATTATCTAGAATACTATATATTTTACCAATTTATTTGTCATCTATCTCCCCTCCCTGGAGAGTAAGTTCCCTGGGGCACTTATTTATTCAATGCTGTATTTTCAGTGCCTAGAACAAGATCTGTCTGGCAAAGCTCAAAAAATATTAACTGACTGAGGGAAAGAATAAACGTATGTTTTTCTTCTTAAATTCAATTCAGCACCCTATGTTGGGTTTGAACTCTAACAACAACCCTCTACCTATGTAATTATTTTCCATTTCTATTTGGACTCACCTGGAGCACACCCATAGCAATGGAAATCAAATCCTAATTGTATATCTGAATTCTATTTTTCTAAACAGAACTCCTATACCCCTGGTTTGCTTATCTAACTATACTTATGACTCTGCCAGTTCACCCTAAATATTCCAGGCTCACATTTCCACTTTGTTGTTAGGATTAACCAAATCCACATGCTATATACTATTTTTCCCAGTGTTTCTCAGAGTGGGGTCTTCCTGCATTCACAATCACCTGCACTTTTAACAATCTTCCAGGTGGTACTTCTTATAAAGATGAGGAACCACCAAGTCTGACAGACAACACTTGTAACTTCTTGCCTGTTCAGCAAATAACACTTTGAGAACCACCGACCTACCAAGCGTGTCAGTCCTCTTCTTACCAGTGTTCTAAAGCTCGTCCATTATTGCCTACAACCAGCAGCTTACTTGCTCTTTAGTGGTCACAAACATTCACCAAGTAGGCGAGTTTATCACTAGAGGAGGAAAATGTCTTTCCTTTAACACATTAACTGCCACGTGAGATGTATTTAACTCATGCTAGTTTTGGGTTCAGGGCCTCATGAAACTTATGTAAGCTTCACCTTGGGAGCCAGGTGAACTACTTTCCAAATTGAACATCACTCACACACAGAAAACAAAAAATAAGAAATTTTTCATTAAATTGGCCGGGTGCAGTGGCTCACGCCTATAATCCTAGCACTCTGGGAGGCCAAGGTGGGCAGATAGCTGGAGGTCAGGAGTTTAAAACCAGCCTAAGTGAGACCCCGTCTCTACCAAAAAAAAATACAAAGAAATTAATTGACCAACTAAAAATATATATACAAAAAATTAGCTGGACATGGTGGCATATGCCTGTAGTCCCAGCTACTCGGGAGCCTGAGGCAGGAAGATTGCTTGAACCCAGGAGTTGGAGGTTGCTGTGAGCCAGGCTGATGCCATAGCACTCACTCTAGCCTGGGCAAGAAAGTGAGACTCTGTCTCAAAAAAAAAAAAAAAAAAAGAAAGAAATTTTTCATTAAATTAAAAAGGATCATTTTGTTTTTGAACGTTTTATTCCATTTTTGTAATAAAACACTGTGGCCCCAAGGAAAAAAATTTTTTTTCTAGTGTGGCAGTCAATGTGTTAAATACATTATAAATTATAAATACTAATTAAAATGGGGGCAATGAATTAAATCTTGAGCATTAGAATGAACCACGCCTTTCTTTTTCAATAGAATTTCACTGAATCCTGATTATTTACTTCAAATAGAAATAATATAAAGAAACCAAAGAAAAAGATCTGAACCTGATTAATTCAGAATTTTTTTAAAAGAACCAGAAGCACCAACATACCTGATAATTCATGATGGCACGTAAACACATGATACAGACATGTATGTCATCTTTCTTACTCACTACTCTTGAATTTTTCAGGGTTCTTCTCCTTGGTAAAGTACTATATCTACAAATAAAAAGAGAACCTTCTATAAAGTGATAGATTACTTTCTTAGCATAGGCACATGCACTTAAAAAATGGACATCATTCTTTACATGCAACTAAATAGTGATTGTAGGTCAAAACCACCACCACCAAACCCACCACCACAAAGCTATTAATATTTCCGAAGATCACAAGGGCCACACAATTCTGTGTACCAGTCATCATTTTGTCAGGCCAGGTACAAACATAATGAAACTCAACCCCACTCATGCATATCACACATCAGATTGTACGTGAGCTTTAGTAACAATCCCAGGTTCCCAATCAGTAGGCCAAGCTCGATTTGCAGAAGTGATCTGAGACAGCATGCATGCAAACCGCATCTGCAACAAAGTGTGGGGTGCAACTTAGCAAATGCTAGACCTCCAATCATTTGACCCAACTTTAGTTGCACCTTGCAATTACTCGGGAGTCCCTACTTCAGAATTTAAACGTAGGCAAGGTCAGACCTTAGCAACATTGGTTTCAGCCTATGATGTTATTAGACCCTGAAATGTTAATACTATGCAAATGCCTCCACAGCCTGATCCCTCACCTAAAGCCTGGTATGGCAGCTGAAACTTAGAGGGAAATATACTAATATTTTAAAGAATTAAGATGTTTCAATGTTAGGATTCATTCTGGTAGGCCCTACATTGCTAAGCCTTCATTCTTTCTGGAGATTTATCATAGCTTGCAAGTAGTAAATAACGGACAGTGTAACATGGTGCATGTGGAAAAGATGACAACACTGAGAGCTTCCACGTGTGTTTTAAATTATTGCCTCAGAACAGAAACACAGATAAGTCTTCTCTGCAACTCCAAGCCTGAAATAAAGTCAAGATTTCAAAAGTTGTCAGCTACGTTCTTATAGAGGAAGTCAATGACAGAAAAAAATGCTCCACAAAATAAGCTATAGCTTTCCTTTTTCTTGAAATAATTAAAAGATTTAAAGGAAGGTAAGATTAATATTAACAACTGTCAAAAGTCCCAAAGGTGCATGATAGGAGTTAAAACTGAATTGACACGTTTATCTAAAATTGTTCAGCTGAGTCGCCCTTTAAATTTCATTTTCTGTTCAAAAACTATCAAACAGAAGATAGATGATTCTTTCACATTCATACTAAAGTCAATTTGCTAGTGAGCCAAACAAATTTTTGAAAAGCACTTCAATAAGTCACTTGCCTCGATAAACCTGAATATATAAAACTTAGTTTGACTCATTATAAGGAGGAGGCTTTATTCAAGGATTTCCTGACTTATTCACAGTTGGAAATTAAATTTCAGTAACAAAAGTTGACCTCATGCAGTTCTGAATGCACGAAGAAGCTGAAGTTGAGATTTTAAGGGTAGCAAGCCCAATTCCAATGTCTGAAATACAACTTTGAGATGCGTCATTTTGCCATAACCCCAGCATGATCATGACTGTAAGCACACTTCTTGGAGGTCTCAGAGACCAGTGCAACTTCAAACAATAACCACACAGCCAGTCTGACCCAAGCACGTATGACTCTCTGAGTCTACATCTGAAGTTCTTGCCCTTCCTCTACCTTTCTTTTTTTTTTTTTTTTTTTTAAGACAGAGTCTCACTTTGTTGCCCAGGCTAGAGTGAGTGCCGTGGCATCAGCCTAGCTCACAGCAACCTCAATCTCCGGGGCTCAGCGATCCTACTGCCTCAGCCTCCCGAGTAGCTGGGACTACAGGCATGCGCCACCATGCCCGGCTAATTTTTTGTATATATATTTTTAGTTGGTCAATTAATTTATTTCTATTTTTGGTAGAGACAGGGTCTCGCTCAGGCTGGTTTCGAACTCCTGACCTTGAGCAATCCGCCCGCCTCGGCCTCCCAAAGTGCTAGGATTACAGGCGTGAGCCACCACGCCCGGCCCTCCTCTACCTTTCTTAACTTACTTTAACCTCAGTCTTGTATTTCTTCAATGGAATCACTTGTTAAGTACATGACAGCTTATTAGAGTGCCTCACTCTGTCACCCAAGCTGGAGCACGGTGGCCCTATCATAGATCACTGTAACTTCAAATTCCTGTGCTCAAGCGATCCACCTGCTTCAGCCTCCCAAGTGGCTGGAACTATGGGCACTCACCACTACACCCAGCGAATTTAAAAAAAAAAAATTCTTTATAGGGATGAAAGTCTCACTATGTTCCCAGGCTGATCTCAAACTCTTGGCCTCAAGTGATCCTCTCTCCTTGTCCTCCAAAAGTGCTGGGGTTACAGGAATGAGCCACGGAACCCATCATTTCATTTCAAGTTGAAAGCAATTACTATACTAGCATAAAAGCCATAAAAGATTAAGTTTTAAAAAGAAAAGAAAAAAATGATTTCAATGGAATAAGTTGCCCTTTGCTAAATTATATTTATATGCAGCAATGATTGTAAAAGATAGACTGATCAAAGCAAACTACCCTCTAACGAAGATAGGTTATTCTATACAATGCCATATTTCTGCATCACTTTCAAATACATTTTAATTATTCCAGCAAATAGAACGATCTTGCACCTGTAATTATGTTTCCTAAGACATATAAAGTAACATAGCACATGCTTTCCTTTTATTTATTAATCTAGTACTTGATCTATATATATAGTAACGTCTCTAAAAAGCCAAAATGTTTTTGTCATTTTGTGGCATGCAGAAACCAATAAAGTTAGAATAATATAATACCTACCAAATATTAACACAAAAGGCTTCTATTTGTTGTAGTAGATGGTTAATCTCAAATATATTTTTATGGATCAACAATATATTTAATATGACATATCACATGCATACTTATTGATATTTAAGGAGTTTACAAAATATACAATATAGAAATAAAATTTCAATAAATAAAAACAACAAACTTAGTAATGATATTCTATACTCAAAAACAATAGAACTAAACTCTTTTCTACAATGTATGGTATTTGGCTTAAAAATTATTTTCTCCAACTTTGGGTTTATACAAAAGTTAAGAATAAAAGGCAATATTTGAACTCGTGTGTTTTAAATCATAACATTAAAAAGAACACCACCACAGCCAACAGCAACAACAAAAATCATAGCTCTGACAGCTGGAGATCCATCATTTGCTCCAACCCTTTTTTAATACAGATAAGAAAATGAAAGGCCAAAGAAATTGCATCTGCATAGTAAATAAAAGATGAGATGAGATGAGACCAGGCCCCACCATAAGGCTCCTCACTGCAATTCAGGGCAGTCACCTTCTACAAGTTGCTTCCCATCAACCTGACTCATCAATAATCTGTTGAGTTTTCATGTGCAAAAGCTACCACCTATAGCTACCTGTGCTGGTTAGGTCCTTGTCAAATGTTCCCATCGTATCTTCCTGATAGCATTTTCTGCTTCGGTCCTATAAAGGTGTCATTTCCCACCCTGAATATAATTACTCCACTATGCGGAATTAAGGCTTAGTTTGCTAAGAACAGCAACACACATTAATAGCATCTCCTTCAGTACACAGTGGCCAACCCACTTGTTAACCAAAGTTTTCTTTTTAAATCTTGATCTTATATATCACTTTTCAGGAAAGTGAGGATGTTTAACATTTTGCTCTATATTTTAGAATACTCATTCTAAAAGAATTTTCTCTTAAATAAGTGCATCCGGATAAATGTCATAATTCTTTCTCTCTGACAATACAAAGTATTTTCAAAGGATTCAGTTTAGGATCACATTAAATCTACAAGACGAGATTTTTAGGCACTGTGCCATGGGTTTGCATATACATTAACTCTTCTCCAGAGAGCACATTTTATGGAATTTGACAATCTTTGTAACTAGATATTTGGTTTATTTGCTTTAATTACGATCTGAGTAAATCATTACCTTTTTGGGGAGAGGTTTTAAATTCAGCTCTAATATATGATGTTCATACTCTCTAATAAACACTTCCCTGTGGCGGGGGAGCAGTTAATAGATCTCCCAAATTGACTCTAAAAAGCAACAGAATTAGGACTAACAATTTATTAGCCACTTTACCACAACACAGACACCTGGACCAGGTAAGCGATCTCGAGGAACAGCCTCTGGTGCTCCCCACCAGCCACAGGAATTCAAACCAAATCTTCTTTAAGGTCTAAAGTTGGTTTTATTAAGCACCTACTGTTTATGCTAGACTATGCTAAGTCAAGGGAAAATGAAAGATAAAGATGTTGCTTCAGTCCTCCAGGGCTTACCACCAGAGTTTAGGAAGCAATAGGTTAAGTATGTAGATAGTCCCTGTATTAAGATGTGATCTATCCACACTCCAGCCCCAGCCCACCCATCCCATTGCACTTAGCAAAGTGATGAGCATTATAACATGTAAAATGAATCCAGTAACATTGTACACACACTTACACAGCACAATCTGATGGAGCAATGGTAGTTGCATCTTCTCATAGGAGAATGCCTTTTGCAAAGCATCATACTTAAAATTTCCCTTTAAGCCAGATTTGACTGAGATAGACCAACTCTTAGTAACTGTCTTTAGGCATCTAAAAGTTGTTTTTAAATGGACCGGTAACCCCCTGAACTAAAATAAAAGGAATGGACAAATTGTGAGATGAGTATCCTAATGGTAACACAACATAATTAAATGTAAAACATTACCAATGCAGATTTAAAATATCCCTGACTTATGATTTTTTGAATGGTGGAATTATAAGACACTTTCATTCATGGGTTTTGTCTACATTTTAAAATTTTATAGAATGGGTGTATATTACCTTTCCAATAAAAAAGAACTCTTTTAGATGGTCTAGGTTTAGATCTACCTTAAGATTGAGAGCTAAGTAGATAATATAATCTTCCTGCTCTTCCACCTCAATCACCCTACAGGATGTCTCCTCCAAGGCCTCTTTAGGTGGAGAGCTGGTCCTGATCTACCCTAAAAGAGCAAATTTGCAGATTTCTGTGATGAGGCCAAAGCACACAACACATAAGACAAAAGAACCAGGTATCATTAGAGAAACTCAGCTTT